CAACTTATCAAGCAGAAAATGATTGCCTTCCTCTCCTATATTCTCGCGCTCTGACGATCCTATACATAAAACTCAATCTTAAAGTTATTAATATTTGTTACAAAGCCAATGTCAGACAGGGGACTTAAAGCAGCCATCCTAATCAAGATATAATAACCATTATTTGAAGAATAATAACAATAACATTTACATGTCAACTCAACTCAGATGACTGAGTGCAAGAGGTGCGAAAGAGACACTAAAGTTGAAAGTGCTGATGTAACATCAAGTTGAGTACTAATGTAAATCTGGGTATCATCTGCATAGCAATGATAACCCAGAACATACTTTTGAATAATCTGCCCAAGAGGCAACATGTAAATTCTAAAAAGAGCAGGACCCAATACCGACCCCTGAGGGACACCCTGCCGCAATGGAGCAGTCTTAGATCTGTTTGCACCAGAATAGACAAATTGAGTGCGTTCTACAAGATATGATTCAAACCATTTTAAGAGTTCACCAGAAAGACTAATCCACTTACGTAATCTGTCCAGTAGTATAGTGTGACAAATGGTATCGAATATGCAGCACTGAGATCTAACAAAACCAGAATGCCACCAGCCCCAGAATCTGCTGCAACAAGGAGATCATTTATTACCCTCAGACTTCTTAGACTGTTAATGTATTATTCCCTGTTAGGACAGATACACACAATTTTGTCATTTTACCAATGTATTACTAACATTCCAAACTATTTCCATAATACCTTTAGCAGTTTCCTGAACACACAGAATTCAAACATGATGAAAAAATATTTTGGAACGTGTCCTAAAGAAAGAAAAAAGTTAAAAATATTGAGAACAGGCTCTGATATTACTGGTAACACCTCTTTCATTAGCTCAGTGGGTACATGATCTGGCGTACATGTTTTTTGTTTTGATGCCTTGATGTCTGTTGTTTGGTGCCGTTAAACTGGGGTTAACTTGTATTTGTCTTTTTTTAGATATGATGGCACTGAAAGTGGAGAGTCAAGAACTAAATGAAATGGAAGAGAAAAATCAGTATGGAAAGCATGATTTCAAAAATGGAGAAAAATATTTTAGTTGCTCACAGACTGAAAAGACTTCCTCACAAAACGTTGCTCAAAAGACTGGAACTAGAAGTTATTTCACCTGCCAACAGTTTGGAAAAGGTTTCAACAGAAAAACAAAACTTACAAAGCACATGAAAGCTCACACTGGAGAGAAGCCATTCAGATGTAATCTGTGTTCAAAGAGCTTCAGAAAAATGGACTACCTTAACAGGCACTTAAAAATTCACTCTGGAAAGAAGCCTTTCACCTGCCAACAGTGTGGAAAGAGCTTCACTGAAAAAAGAAACCTAAAACTCCACATGAGAGTTCACACTGGAGAGAAACCTTTCACTTGCCAACAGTGTGGAAAGAGTTTCACACAAAAACAACATCTTAAAGTTCACATGAGAATTCATACTGGAGAGAAGCCATTCACATGCAAACAGTGTGGAAAGAGCTTTGCTGAAAATGGACACCTTAAAGTCCACATGAGAACTCACACTGGAGAGAAGCCTTTTACCTGCGAATTCTGTGGAAAGAGCTTTATTGACAAAAGAAATGTAAGAATCCACATGAGAATTCACACTGGAGAGAAGCCTTTCATTTGTCAACAGTGTGGGAAGAGTTTCACGCAAGCAGAACATCTTAAAGGCCACATGAGAATTCATACTGGAGAGAAGCCGTTCACCTGCAAACTGTGTGGAAAGAGCTTCACTGAAAATGTACACCTTAAAGTCCACATGAGAAGTCACACTGGAGAGAAGCCTTACACCTGCCAACAGTGTGGAAAGAGCTTCTCTCAAAGATGTCATCTTAAATTCCACGTTAGAAGTCACACTGGAGAGAAGCCTTTCACCTGCCAACAGTGTGAAAGTAGCTTCACAACAAAAATCAACCTCAGGTATCACATGAGAGTTCACACCGGAGAGAAGTCGTTCACTTGTGATCAGTGTGGAAAGAGTTTCAAACAAAAAAAATCCCTTAACTGTCACTTGAGTTCACCCAAGAAGTGTGGAAAAAGTGTCAGCCTAAACCTGGGGTCAGCATCCTTTATGTCATGAAGTGCCATTTTTAAGTTTACTAGTTAATCCCTGTGACACAACCTGTGTCCCCCCCATATGTATAAATGCATAATTTCTTAATAATAATGTATAAATTATTAATTTCTTGGTGTTTGGTGATGTTTGTTTGCTTTTTAGATAAGTTTTATAAAAATGTACTAGAAAGCTCCACACAATTCATACAGATTATAAAATACACAAAAAAGTAATATACTTATTTCCATTGTGGTCCTCTTTTTATGTTCAATAAAATCTATTATTTTTATTTATTTATTAGTGTGTTTTGTTTAAGAAATCGCTATTAGGTTACATGGCATCAGCTGTGTATGTCTTGTGCCATATATGATAGTAGTTGAGGGTGGTGAAACATCAATGTTTTTTCTGGGGGCTCACAATCCCAAGCTATAGCCCTGCAATTAAGAGTCTTCACTGAGTAAAAAAAAATAATACTCAGTTTTTCACTACACTCATCTACTATAAGGAAAATAATTCGTGGGGGCTCACAATCCCAAGCTATAGCCCTGCAATTAAGAGTCTTCACTGAGTAAAAAAAAAATAATACTCAGTTTTTCACTACACTCATCTACTATAAGGAAAATAATTCAGGGAGGACACACACACAATCTCAATTTACCTTTGCCAATTAATAACTTAATGTAAAATGTTACCTATTGACTGTTGCAGTTTTTTATGACCCTATAAAAAGATTGAATTAAATGGATAAATGTTTATTCAATTAAAGATTGATAAATCTTTTTCTAAAAAAAAAAAAAATGCATCAAGTAAAAAATATAATGTTGAGGAGGTTCCGTTTATGGCACGCAAGGATCAGACAGCTGCACGGAGCTCTCCCACAAACTTTGTATGTTCTACCCTTAAAGCCTCGCCAGTTACAACATCTTAAGGCTGCATTTGAATTTTTTATTGATCAGTGACGTTCAGAATGTCGAAGGGAAAGAGTAAACAGACTGATAAAGATAGTGAAGTTTCCCCACAAATTAGCCTGCTACATGAGGAACTCGGAGCTTGGCTTGTTGCGGATTTTATATTGTCAACTGAAACGTTAGCAAATAAGTTGGATAACATACAATCCACCATTTCAGACCTTGCTCAAAAGGTGGACTCTCTAGAATCCAACGCTACTGAAGTTGATCAGCACTTCGTACAAGTCTTTGGGTCTCATTCCCTATGCATGCATGCGCACAAATTTGTGTGTGAAATGTGCGTACAAGCAATTTTCCCAACAAATCATGATTCACAGAAAACAATCGTACTAAAATTCCTTTTAAATGTATGAAAAAATGTAAGAACAACTTAAACCACAAGTAAGCAATAATCACATACATTAATCACATACTATAAGCTCAGCGGCTTAATAAACATGAAGAGAAAGAACCGAAGTTTACACGCACACACACACACACACACACACACATATAGTGGTGTGAAAAAGTGTAGGCCCCTTCCTGATTTCTTATTAAAGTGAGACAAACATGCAAAAAAATGTTTCAGATCATCAAACACATTTAAATATTAGTAAAAGATAACACAAGTGAACACAACATGCAGTTTTTAAATGAAGGTTTTTATTATTAAGGGAAAACAAAATCCAAAACTACATGGACCTGTGTGAAAAAGTGTTTGTCCCCTAAACCTAATAACTGGTTGGGCCACCCTTAGCAGCAACAACTGCAATCAAGCATTTGCG